AGAAGCTTTTCTTAAGGTCGAGAAATAAGCGAGATTTACAAAAGCTTTTAAATGTTTTCCACGTCATTTTAAAAGTTCTTTCAGATAAGGGAATCTAATTTCTATATTCATGCTATTTCCGATCATATCCCTCAACAGGGCCGTTCCTAGACGCGATAATGGGGGGGGGGTATATTCATATATTCATGCTCGCTACCGTAAAAACAATCGCTTTCAATCGATCGGGCAGAAGACGAATATATGAATATACACCCCCAATTATCACGCTATAGGAACGGCCCTGTCCCTTTAATTAAACGACTGAACTTGCCCGGCTTCAATGAAAATAAGGCCGAAGTTTGACGCTTAAACTGAACTGCTTAGAGCACAACATGCTCAAATATAAGTAATTGACTGTTTATAGTAAGTATATATATATAGCCTTGAATCTAGCGAGTGTACAAGTGTTTCTAGTTTATTTTAATTGGCGCGCATGGATATCGATCAATTGAAACAATTAAGGTTCGACTGTCTATAGTTGAAGCAAAGTGCCTAATTGTCTGAGGATTTTTAAGGTTTTTTTGTGATTTTCTCGATATTATAGTCAGTATAATTCCGCTGTAACAAAAAGCCCCGAAATAATTTTTACATCAGGTTTTAGAGCAACAGTTTGTCTTTAAATTCCGTAAATTTCAAGGAAATTGGAGATTTCCCGGATACGGAAAATTAATTTTCAAAAAGTGTAACAATTTAGATTTTTTTGAATCGCAAGAAAAGACGATTTTTACACGCTTGTCTTGACATTGAAAAATCATTTCAAAAATTGCAAATTGGACCCACGGTCTTTATAAACATCTTATAAACACGTTTAAAAACGAAAGGTGAGGTTTCATCACACGCCAATTGAGAAAAACGAAATTTTCGAGAGGCCGTAGCTCACAATTTTTTTGCTAATTTCGCGAATCTCGGGTATGTGTGAGGTTTTGATAATTTTCGGCGTTTAAAATAATATTTCAGAAAACAAACCCCACCACGTTTCTGAGTACACATTAGAGTATCACTGGAAAAAATAAGAAGATTTTTTATTTTTCCTCATGTGCCACGTATTCTCGATTTTGCTCGGTTTTAGTGGACATTGTCTCTTAAACAGTTTCTCTATGCATAAAATTTACTTATGTCAATCATTTATGCACTCGTGGAAACCAACAGAGCGCTAAGGCATTCAAATTCTAACAATTAAATTGTTATTGGTGATTTCAATAGTTTTCGTTTTTTTTGGGACACCCTGTATAGCAATAATTCAGATAATTTGTTACCTTAACTTAAGTGCCGTTTACACGGCACGTATACACGGCACGTACACACGGCACGTATAAACGACTGTAGCTGCAATATTTTGCAATGGCACGCACGGCACGGCAAAATTTGTTACGGCAAAAGTTAAATTTAGACACGACATGTTTAGTCTTAATATTGTGGGACATTTAACTTATCTAATTCCAATACAAGTATATACAGTAGTTACTTTTGAAAACTGCGCATTTAGTTATCTATATGCTTTGTCCAGATTTACACTCATTTGTACACGGCATGACCAGACACATTTTTTGCTCGGATAAAGTTTATCTTGCATGACCAAACTAAAGCAAAACATTTAGCGAACTCAGTCTACGCTGCCATGCAATTTTGAGATTAAAGTGTCTAGTATTTGTTTATCAAGTCAAATCTCGAAGGTTTTGAACATTTAACGATTTGCACAAGATCGAAACTGGGTCACGTAGTTCCTGGTCCACTATAGTACGATCGTACTTGTTACCCAAATTCAACCAAATTTTAATCAGTTCTTCCTTGGCCGATGGGGCATGCATTCAAAAAATTTCATATGAATATGTTTGGTATTTCTTGAGTTATCGTGCTCAAAAACAAACACACACACATACACACACACACACACACACACATTACACATACAAACCCAGATGATTACATAACCTCCTGGCGGAGGTAACTACCTCAGCCCGGCAGCATGTAATCGCAAATAATTTCAGCTCGCGGGCTAAAAAAAAACAACCGCTTATTGTCATCTTTAAATACTTTACGCGTATAATCACAGTCTCGCACAAGTCAAATGGTCGACTCATCAGCGTCTATTATGCTTTAAAAGAAGCGTAACAGGATTATTGTTCTATTTTGTGACACTCAGATTATTTCACCCCATGCTCGTATCCAGAGCCCTCCTTACGCGCAGTGCGACGAGGGGCTCTGGCCAAATCCATAACCAGATACCATAAAAACATGGTAAGAAACAACTTCTATTTATAAGTAAGAAACAACTTCTATTTATTACTTTTTCATGTAAGAAACAACTTCTATTTATTACTTTTATTTTTACCTTATTCCAACTCGTGTTTTGTTTTGATTATTTTTTGTGGTAATTGTCTTAACTTCCTGTTTATTTTATATTTTCAATTATATTATATTCTGTAATGCAATTTACATATTTTGTTTACACTTTGTTATTATTAAATCCGTCTAATTGGTTTATTTTTTGTCACGTGATGCTTTCATACTCTTAGTATAAAAGCCCGTGCATTTTCCCCGATCCCTGCTACTAACTCTTGACGAAGAGCCTTCGCTCGAAACTTCGAGTTTCTGCTTATTTTTAAGGTAGTAATATAACCACTCAGCACAGCATTTTCACATTGGTACTACCTACACTGGTACAGACAGTTCTAAGAAAACAATATCCGATGATATTTACTGACGGTCATAATAACTTATTGTTTTCTCTCTGCATTATATCAGCGAATGTCGAGAAGTTTTAGCGTTCTTCTGAAAAACGGGAGCGGTCTTTTTTGATTGGAGGGAAATTCCCAGGGGTAAATGTTTATACGGGCTAAAATAGCACACGGCATTATTAAAAATAATGCAGCGTGCACACAGCATTATTAAAAATAATGCAGCGTGCACACAGCATTATTAAAAATAATGCAGCGTGTATCAGTGCACACAGACATTATTCGCAATCCTTCGTCATCCTGACAAGGTTTAGTCCCAGGCTCACTCTATTCGCTGCTTTGATATATTTAAATAAGTCTTAAAAGTTTTATGCCTGGGTGTGCTGTGCGGAACGCTTCAGCGAGGGAGCCTAGCAGATTTCGGTAAAATGGTCCCTGATTTCCAAAAAGTGGTCCCTGGCCTGGTTACCAAGCATACCTCATTTGTAAATGGAAAATGTTATGGAAATTTTTCCTTTGCATTTATAATTAAGTCATTAGTTTTGCTTTAAGCCTGGGTTCACACTGGTTGTAAGAATCGGGGATTTCCATTGTCTGTTGTCATTGGTGTGTAAAATTCTTTGTCTGTCGGAAAAGAATACAAAAGATCGCAGATGACTTACGACTAGTGTGAACCAGGCTTAAATGCTGTCGGGACAATGAAGCCTTAGGCTACGTTTCGCTGCCATACGGTCAGAATGGAATAACGGGCTAAATATGACTCGTGTTTACTAAAATATATAGCCATATTAAATGCTATCTAGAAGCTTGAATATTATGCCGAGTCTCCGACTAAGAATGTTTTGACAACACCGTCATTTCAGGCAAATATTTCCAATCTTTTCAGCAATTTAAACCTGTCAAGTAGAAAGCGTAGTTGTGTATACCAGTATGGTCTAGTGTTGATCACAACTTGCGAGTACATAAATAACATCAACGATTGCTCAAACTCGGTATCGTAAATTTGTATATAATTTTTTTTAGTTGAGCACATTTTTAATACAGTTTGATTTGGTTATGTAGACATCGAACATTTACATGATGAACGAACATTGTCGTATTTATAATTAAAAGGTTACTTGTATATTTAAATTTTCCACCATATTAAAAATACTGAAATCTGCTAGGCGTTCTGAAACACCTTGAGCGGTGACGTCACACCTAGGTCCCAGTCTCGTACTACATCCACTTTTTTCTCGCGCTTGCTTCAGAACGACTGGGACTAGGCTGGAGATTAACATCTCTATTCTCTAAAGTGTCCTAAACAAAGCTAAATATAATTTTTAGGGTGTGCAACTTTTGGTCATTTTAAGAAAAGTGACAATCGATTGCATCCCAATTATCGATCTGACAAGAATGTTACAAAGTTGATGACACAAGGTTGTAGCAGAATTGTTATATCATGTCTGTATCGGACTTGTTGAAACAACCTTGCAACAAGTCTGATAGCATCAACAAAGTTGTTACAAGTTGTGAACAGTTTGTTCCAAACTTGTTGACAACTTGGGACAAGCAGTACAAACGCAACTTGTTGACGGCTTGTTGGCAGACTTGCTACAAGATGTGAGATTTTTATGCGTGTAGTATAAAAGCACATGTATTTTCTCGACCCATGCTAGTAACGAAGGGCCTTCGCTCGAAACTTATGGTGTTTTTGGTAATATCTTCGTTGGCGTAAAAAATTTTTCGAGTTTATAACACCTAATCCACCCTACTTCCCCGTCATAGTCTGCAACTAACTTTAATTACCCAATCCCTTGGTCACATTACTCGCTGACGTAAGGTGCATGCTACGAAGTTGTTTAATAACCTTGGTTATTGCACAACCTCATAAATACGGCATTTAACCATTTAACTTAGATTCTTGCACTTCACTTGGTGGAATTAATATTAGGATTTTAGGGTTGGTAATCCAAGTGAGAATATATACATTTTAAGACCTGGCAGCAACGACTGCGAAAAATGCAGCACAAGGTCGTCTGGTATGAATTGAACCTACGGCCGTGCGAATCGCAGGGCCGTGGGTTCAATTCCTATCAGAGAACCTTGTGCTGCATTTTTCGCAGTCGTTTCTGGTTAGGTCTTTAAATGTATATATTCTCACTTGGATTACCAATCCTAACATTCTAATATTAATTCCACCAAGTGAAGTGCAAGAAGTAAGTTATTCAAGTCCACCTTATCACAACCCGCACACCCGATTACCTGTATATACACGAACTTACGGTTACAACTCAACAGCTGGCCTCTGTAGCTCAGTTGGTTAGAGCGCTGCACCGGAATCGCACGACCGTAGGTTCAATTCCTACCAGAGGACCTTGTGCTGCATTTTTCGCAGTCGTTCCTGGTTAGGTCTTAAAATGTATATATTCTCACTTGGATTACCAACCCTAACATCCCATTTAACCATTTTCCATTTTTCCCAGTCCCATCCAAATCCTATTTTCCCAGTCCTAAAATAGGCAAATCCCAGCTTCAGAAACCTCAATAATAGAAATGCGTTAACCACGTTCTTGCTAGCCTGCTCGCAGGCCGTTGTCTTGTTGACTCGGACGTCAGTTTGCCGAAGTGGCACTGGATTAAAAATTATGTTTGTATCAGTTTCTGAATCTGGTAATCTTCAATATATACTACACAAGCTACACATGACAAAAAGGTTTTTGCTGGTTTTTGCTTACCAACGTGGTAGCCCCCCCCTGATTTTGGAATTCCTGATTGTTGCATCACGTGAAGGCAACCGACCAATCAAAAGCATTCAATGTCGCTACCGCCATAGTTCGAATCGAATACTTGTTCGAAAACAGTTTGTGTTTGAATATTCGGAATGATTTAAAAGTTTTGCAGAGGTTTTAGCTTGAAAATTTCAGAGTAGAAATGGCAGATTTGTCTACAATAGACTACAAAGATGGTGTGCGAGCTGTTGTAAGACGGCGTTTGAAAGAAATAGGAATAAAAGTGCCGAAGATAAAGCTGCGAACTGATTGTAAAATTGACCATGTGAGTTAAATTTGTAAATATGTTTGTTTGCTCTTTTGATTGCCCTGAATTTCTTACAACGACCCAGACACATAAATACTTGGCTTGAAGTATGTTATAGCGTCTAACTTCATTGCAAGCCTTAAACAGTCCTCACGCTTTTTAAATCTAGAAAAGAATTCAACATAAGCGTTAATATTTTACAAAATGCTGTGCTTATATGCTAGTGTTTACTGCACAGATTTATACGGTGTTTATAATCTGATTAGTTGGAGTCGCAATTATCCAAAAAAGACATGTCGTTGCTGTGTTATATTGTATTAAAAAGTTCAAGAGTTTTGTATGCCAAAACACGAGTGGGATCCTTGATAATCTATTGAAAATATGTGTGGTATTTTTAGGATATACAGTATTTTAGCTCATTTATCTACGAGTTGACGCCATTTAATAATATTACCCAAAGATTCTCACAATAATAATATGGTTTTAGTTATAAATAATATAGGTTTCAAAGTGGATACATATATTTATGGACTAATAAAATATATAAGGAACACTTTATAAGCTCTGACTATAAAGTTTGGAAATTGCAGACCTGAGATTTCTGATTTCAAAAATTTAATAGTAAATATCAGAATATTTCACCTAAAATCTCCGGGTTTAATGGATTATTTCTTGTCTATATATATTTTGGTGAAGGCCGGTTACCAGAGCAGTATTTTAAATGTCTACCTCTGTGTATGTGGATTTATAAACTAATTCACCTATAAATGGCTAAAAAATATTGAAAAGTTGTTAATTAACATCTGCAGGATATTATTAATAGCTTAATAGGTACCACATAAATTTCAATAGATTTTAAGCAAATGCTCATTAGCTAAGTGGTTTAATTAGTATCTGCCTACCATATGATGAGTCAATAGATTAAATCCTAGATTAACACCCTTATTCAACCTTCCTGATGCCAGTACTGATTCATATATATACTCAAAAGTGAACTTTAAAAATTATATATTGCATTGCATACACTTAAAAAATTATATGCTTTGGCACTGATACCGTACTTGATAATGTTTGCTGAAGACTTAAAAAGCACATCTATGTTTCTAGACGGAGCAATTTTTATCGCAATATGTTGCCGCATTGAAATTAATGTGTGAAGCCTACCCTTTATGAACAGTTTTAACAAACTTTAGTTGCAGTAACATGTTCCGTTGGAAACTATCATAAAAAATTGAAATGAATGATTTCAGTTAGTTGACCAGTTGACATTATGATATCATTATAAAATTTGGTATAGCGTAGATTATTGCGTAAATTATTGCATGGTTGTGCTCAGTCGGTCATTCACTACCCTGATCCATCAGTGCACTGAACTCTGATTTAAAATTTTTTGTCATAAATTCTTTTTTGAACTGAACTGGCTAAGGTGTACTTAATTTGTAAATCAGTCTCTAAGCAAAGATAAGGGAGCTGAAATATGTGAGAGCAATTGCACCCCTCAAAATTGAATGTCTGAAACACCATTTTAGTGTTTTTACTAATGTTTGGGCATTCTACTATTGGGTTTCAGGGTTCTTATGACAATCCAAATGTTGTATTTGGTGTTCCCTTGGACAGATTAACAACAAAGAACATTGGATGCAACACTTATCACCCGGTGCCAAGGTATGCACATTTTGATAATTGGATGGTTTTTTGTAATAAGGTAACTGTCAGTATAATTATAGACAGGGTGTCTATATAATTATCATTATAACAATAACAATCTTCTTGAACTTCGAGATCTTCTGATTTGAGTTCTATTCCTTTAACCAGCGTTTGAACTTTTGCTTAAGCCTAGTGATTATTTCAATACACCAAAATCAACTGACCCTACATCCTCTAATACTGTAACCCCCCTTCAAACCTTACCAGCTTCTGTCTTCACACAAAGAAACATACTGTATGCCTGTGCTAATAAGGTTGTTTCCAACATGCACATGGTATATTTTTGCTACGGTAATCTTTAATTTTCATTTTGCCATTCACAACAATGGTAAATCATGTCTATAATGGGTCAGACCCTCGCAGTGTTGTGGCAATTGGCAGTGGCTCTGTCAATGTTGCGGACACTAGGGGGCCATCCATGGGTGGGGTGGCTACCCCTCCCCCCCCCCCCTCAATAATTTTGAAAGACCTAGTACCTACAGTATAAAAGCTTGTTACACTAGTCATTTTTTATGTGATTTTAGGTGCAATTTTCTTCTGTGGATGTGAACGAGTGGATAAGTTATGAATGTTCAGATGAGGGTACATGTACTGTGTACTCTGAACATTCATAACTCATCTACTTGTTCACATGGATCAGAAGGAAGAAATTGCAGCGTAAGTGTAAGGCGTAAAAAAAACAACCTGTGGTTCCGGTTCCCGACCGATCCCTATTTTTTTCTGCCGACCCTATTATTTTTTTCAACGCCATTGACTGTGCGACCCTAATTTCTCCAGGTGGTTGCGGGCTGCTCATGCAGCGTGCCAAAATGGCATCTGTTGTCACACTAATTATTGAACCAAATTGCCTAAATTCGTCCATACGAAATACGCATCTCTAGGTAATATTGATGTCGGGACTCTACTGCAAATCGCCCAGCAGAAAACCGCCAAAACCATGAAAAAAAATATTAAAAAAAAAATTATTTCCGACCTACCGACCCTAATTTTTTCACGATATGAAACCGGAACCACAGGTATTTTTTTTACGCCTAAGCGGGCCTTAAAAGTCTGGTACCAAATATCACAATTCACAAGCATTGTTTAGGAGCAAGCATGCAATCACACCCATATAACGTAATTGCCATTTAGGTGACTATTTAATAAAACTTAAGCTAAAGTTAGCAATATAGTGAGCAATATATGATTTTATATAATACCTTATTTAATTCTGATCATTTAGTTGGCTATTTATGGTCACGTGATATTGAATAGAAAATTCCATTTCCCAAGAACTGTGCAATGGAATTGCGAGCGCAATTGTACTATACGTTAGATTATTCCATTGCACTCTTTGTGTTTTCGATAAATCGCATCCGTCAAAATGCTTCTCGTAATAATAATAATAATAATAATAATAATAATAATAATAATAATGGACTTTATTTAAAGAAGGTATTACAAAAAAACCCCAGTTTAGCAAAGCTAATCTTACACTGGGCCTTCTATAACTACGACTATTAACAAACAAACAAATATATTAGGTAACGTGGGGAAAAAAGATATATGGTATATATAAACAATAGATTACATATGACTACGTTTAAACTGTTTCTAAAAAGTATTGATATGTTCTTATTTTGAATGATGCTACCGAAGAAGAGTTTCTTATCTCAAGTGGTAAACTATTGTAAAGTGTTGCACCACTGTATGTATGGTAGTGCCTTTTGTCTGATTGCCAATTTATTCCTTGGTACCCACAGATCATTGTCCGCAGAACTTCTGGTGACTCGGTTACTCACTGACGACTTCAGTTGAAATAAGCCACAAATGTATTCCGGTACCAATTGGTACCAATCGTACGGTGATTGCAGTTTATTTCATATTCGAAACTCGGTAAATGGGATTTAATGCAAATACGACTCGTCAAAATGGCGGGAGCTTGGACACTGAAACTCCTTTGACATACATGTTGAAAATTTTGCCCAATATTTTGTACCCATCACTGGCAATTGCGACCTCAGTGCTGCTGACCAATGTAATGGCTTAATTAACACTGGAAAAAATAGTGAATTGGATTTCTATGCTATTTCCATGTCCACCCAGGCTAGGTTCTAGAATACCCCGCCACTGCGTTTAGCGGTGTATAAAATTATGTTCCCGTGGTTAGAGGTTAGGTTAGGGGTTAGGTTAGGTATTTGGTTAGGGTTAGGGTTAGCGTTAGGGTTACGGTTAGTGGTTATGTTAGTGGTTAGGTTAGTGGCGGGGCATTCTAGAATTGATTATATAGAGAATAATACATGGGTGCGCGGAAATACCAGATTTATTTCGAGTGTGAACATGATATCTCACGAGTGAGCGCAGCGAACGAGTGAGTTACCATGTTCAACACGCTGTTTATTATATAAAGGACAGTCTTTGAAAAGTGATAATTTTTACCGAGAAAAGCGATAATTGAAAACCGATAATTTTCACATGTGAGATTATCATAAATAATCTCACATGAGATTATCACTTTCATCAGTGCTCGAAATCTCTACAATGCACTATACTTTATATAATAAAACTGCTTAAACTTAGATTTGTGGTCAAAGCAACAGAATGTTTGGAAAATCATCTTGGCAGTGAAGGCCTGTTTCGCAAATCTGGTTCATCTGTCAGACAGAGACAACTCAGGGTTAGTACAAACTACTTATAATTAAACCATGGTTTCTTCACGAATTTGCATGCCAAATAATTATCCTGCATGGCAATGCTGGCCGATCCTGCAGCCAGTGGGAGCGGTAACGTAATTTTCAGCTAAGTTGAGTTTCTTAGTCTAGTTTTCTGCTAAGTGCAAACACAACGGGCAAAACATAATCAAACTGTCACAGCAGTTGCGTAGGAAGATATTTAATTAATGTTAGGAAGGCTGAAAACTTTGGAAAATTGAGGCTCGGAAATGCCATTTCGTGAATTGAAGAATTTGGATGACAAAAATCTGAAAAAAAATGCTTCATAATTGGTTCTCGTCACTTTGTATCAATTGTATGACTCGGCCGCGAACCCACATTCTAGTTCGTTCAAGTGCAATAACATCTTCAGGTTGCGAAATTACGCTTACAAATGATGCAAGTTGATGGTTCTTTGTTGTTTTGTTACAGAAAACTATTGAAGAAGGTGGTGGAATTTCAGAAGCTCAGCCACACGACGTTGCAAGTTTACTGAAACAATTCTTTCGTGAATTACCTCAACCGCTTCTTACGAACCAACTACATGACCACTTCTTGAAATGCCTGCTGCTTGCCAGCAAAAATGAACAGACTATGGCAATATTACTTCTATGCATTTTATTACCTATTGAACATTTATATACTCTGCAATATTTTGTAAAATTTATGTCAAAAGTTGCAGAGAAATCCGAAGAGAGTAAAATGGGAACGGCGAATCTGGCAATAGTTCTCACACCCAATCTCATGAACTGCACTAGCAAGAAGGAAAATAGTAATGGTTCGGAAAAGTTGTTAAAAGAACAAACGCTTGTTGTTCAGATATTGTTGGAAAATGCATCAGAAATTGGTCTCGTGTCTGAAGATATTCTCTGCGAAGCTAAGGATAGCAATAATAATGAAGGAGGCTTGTCTTCAGGCGACGAACTCGATGGAGAAAAAGTTGGTTTGAGAGGTCGAAGTCGACCGACATCGTCTTCAATATCAGGTTTGTTCAAGACATAGCGCGTTGTAAAGTCAGATTGTGTCTCTGTTTCCTGATTGGATAATTACACCATGAAGTTTTCTGATTGGTCCAGTTTACCACTTGTCTCATGTCAAGTGTGTTCTGATTGATTGGTTGATTGTTAATTGATGTCGTTAAACGATAGAGTGGTTATTGCCGCTTTCAACCAAAGGTTTATTTTGCTTTCGCCATTCCTAATATTATATACAATAAAAATAAACCTCCGGAATGAAAATACAATAAAAATAAACTCTCTGAAACTTCAGCGTAATTTTTCAGGGATACCAATCATTTAGTGGGAGGGAAAACATGTTTGAGATTTTTTGTACTTGCACGTGGCCATGAACTCCCGAGCTTTAATTAAGCCCCATACAGATGAGCAAGATTTCCTTGACAAGATTATCTTCTCATGTGCACGCTCAATTAGGTTTCCTTGACAAGATTATCTTCTCGTGTCTACGGTCGACAAGGTTTCCTTGACAAGATTATCTTCTCGTGTCTTCGGTCAACAAGGTTTCCTTGACAAGATTATCTTCTTGTGTGTACGGTCGACAAGATTTCCTTGACAAGTTTAACAAGGTTTCCTTGACAAGTTTAACAAGGTTTCCTTGACAAGTTTAACAAGGTTTCCCTGACAACTTTAACAAGGTTTCCTTGACAAGTTTAACAAGGTTTCCCTGACAATTTTAACAAGGTTTCCCTGACAAGTTTAACAAGGTTTCCTTGACAAGTTTAACAAGGTTTCCTTGACAATTTTAACAAGGTTTCCTTGACAAGTTTATCTTCTTGTGTGTACGGTCAACAAGGTTTCCTTGACAAGATTATCTTCTCGTGTCTACGGTCGACAAGGTTTCCTTGACAAGATTATCTTCTCGTGTCTTCGGTCAACAAGGTTTCCTTGACAAGATTATCTTCTTGTGTGTACGGTCGACAAGATTTCCTTGACAAGTTTAACAAGGTTTCCTTGACAAGTTTAACAAGGTTTCCTTGACAAGTTTAACAAGGTTTCCCTGACAACTTTAACAAGGTTTCCTTGACAAGTTTAACAAGGTTTCCCTGACAATTTTAACAAGGTTTCCCTGACAAGTTTAACAAGGTTTCCTTGACAAGTTTAACAAGGTTTCCTTGACAATTTTAACAAGGTTTCCTTGACAAGTTTATCTTCTTGTGTGTACGGTCAACAAGGTTTCCTTGACAAGATTATGTTCTCGTATGTACGGTCAATAAGGTTTCCTTGACAAGATTATCTTCTTGTGTGTACGGTCAACAAGGTTTCCGTGACAAGATTATCTTCTCGTGTGTACGGTCAACAAGGTTTCCATGAATTATCTTCTCGTGTGTACGGTCAACAAGGTTTCCTTGACAAGATTATCTTCTTGTGTGTACGGTCAACAAGGTTTCCTTGACAAGTCTTGACAGGTTTTTTTGACACGAGGCACAGAATGTTGTTAAGTCAAGGCCAACATTTATTTACCAAAACCATGGAAGTGTTTCTTGTAAATTTTTGTCAAGTTTCCTTGCCAACACCATACATGTCCCATACTAACGCAAACTTCCAATGGACATACATATGAAATGTCCATTGGACATGTGACTGTCCATTGGATCCAATGGACTCAAATGTCCATTGAGTGGACATGTGTATGTCCAATGGATCCAATGGACATATCGAATATCCATTACGAACAATTTTCCTTGTCCAAAAGCTGGTATGCTATCTCTGGAACATTGCTCCTTGGCAAAGAAAAATTGTCATTTTTTGCCATACACATGCTCAAGGAAAAAAACTTGCTCGTCTGCACAGAACGTCAAGCTACAATTTTTTTATAACATTACAAAACTTTTTTTTCAGCTTTTGTTTCCGGCAAAGTGAACAAGTTTCGTCATTCTTCAAATCACAGAAGATCAAAAAGCGTGAAAGCCGAATTCTCCCGACAAAAACGAAGAGTTGAAGTTAATATTAAGGCAAAAGGTAAATTTCAAAGAAGTCAGGGTCAAATGAAGATAGAATTGGGTGATGTGCAATCTCGTTCCCCGAGCCTGCGATCCTCGGGAAGGAACGCGAGGCTCTGGGATAATCCGTTTCATGGAGGAATCTGATTGGCCATTGAAATGGAATGCGTAGTTCAATCTTAGCCAGGATTCTTGGCTTCCGGTAACGGATTATCCCAGAGCCTTCGATTCCTTCCCGAGGATCGCAGGCTCGGGGAACGAGATTGGGTGATGTGCACGTCAATGTATATTGTAGTATGGTGGTGTTATGTACTCGGGTGAATATGATGTTTGTGATGTTACTCAGAGTGTGTATCCACATCGGGCAAGCTTAACCAACACAGAAAAAAATCATGATTACTAGATTACATTGATATCTAAGGAACTAGACTCAGCTGGTATTCCAAAGGTCGTAGGTTCGATTCCCTCCGTGGCCAGGCTTATTTTTCAAGCTTGCCCGGTGTGGATATACACTCAGAGTAACATATCACAAACACCAGTATATAATATGGGTTACACTTAAAAGCACTGTGATTTTCGCGTGACTTCGAGAGTTATCAAGGCCTAGGACGTCAGCAGATAATCCAATAATTATTAAATATCCATATGTGGACCAGGGTGTCCTCGGGCCTTGAAAATCCTGGAAAGTCCTTGAATTTGAAAAAAACTTCCAGGACTGGAAAGTCCTTGAAAATCAGTAGAAGTCATTGAAAGCCCTGAATTAATTTCCTTAACCTCCAGCTGTGCCAACATTAGTGATTTTGATTAAAATTACTGAAAAAGTGAATTATTTGCTGGTTAAAGTATAAAATCCGTGCCATTTTCAAAGATCTTTCCCAGTTCTAGGTCCTTGAATTTACTGAAAAAGGGCCTTGAAAGTCCTGGAAAAGTCCTTGAATTTCACCTTCACCAAAGGGTGGACACCCTGATGGACGTTAAAATAAGTTTCAAATTTAATTGAAGATTTGGTATTTTCTAGCCAATATATATTTTGATATTCCAGTTTATAAGATTTCGATAGTGATTGACAGTTTGTGCCACAATCGGAAATTATTGATTGCCGAATAATCATGGGACAATCTACCCGATACCGATTTTATAATGACGTCATAATGTCAGTCGACCGAGTAAAGGTGACGTCATTCATTTCACTTTTTTAACGATAATTTCCAACGCAACATGTTACTGCAACCAAATTTCGTTTTGTTTTTATTAGCTTCTGCCCCCCTCCCCAAAATATCGTGTTTCCCTTGGGTTAATTTTGTCGCGGGAACATATTGCGTTTAAACGCAACGTGTTTCATGATTTTTAAAGTGCGTATTTTCTCAACAATCTGTGTTACACAATCGAAAATACAGATAATTCTACCGATTATCGGTCAATCGCTTACAGTTTTCTAACACGTTAGTATGAAAATTACATGATTATCTGAGTAATAGTATTGTCACTGTTTCAGATGACTGTACAATGTTCACAAAACATTTGGTGAATACAGCTGAACTGAGTGGAGTTATAAAAGATCAAAAAAGAAAACCTTTAGAAAGAGAAGTAGACAAAGATCTGGCTCCTGCTAGCAAAAGGTGCGTTCTAATATTTTTATTATTTTATTTTCTATTTAAAACTTTAGTTAAAGACCCAACAGATTTGCAACATTGCAATGTTTCATTTACTTGTTATTGTCTGGATGTGTTCGCACTGCTTGTTCCCATCTCCCTGACAAGTTGTCAACAGCTTGTTGATGATTTACTACAATGTTGTTGAACTCAACAGAGTTGTTACAAGTTGTTCCAACAAATTGTTATCGTCCTGCATTTCAACAACTTGCCAGCACGCTGTTGAGTGACAACCTTGTAGCAACTTGATAACATAACAACATTGTTACAACTTGTTGACAATCTTGTCACAAGCAGAGACCCAGCCAGGATTAGCAATCTACCCGTCCAAAATTGCTAGGCCAGTTCTGCCCCCCTCCCCAAAATATCGTGTTTCCCTTGGGTTAATTTTGAAATCAGATCTTCATCTTCTAAAAACATGATTCTTAGAATCATGAAGTTCTTGTTAAAATCCGCTTAAAATACTAAATATTTGGCTAATACATATAGGGATTTGTAACTTCTTTGCTTGCGGACGTATGTGCGGGGATGTGCTTGTACGGTTGTATTAATTATTAAAAACAAAACAGTGGAATTTTAGCATTTTTTTGCCCGTCCACATTCAAAATACACGTCACAAGCCTGTTGCGAACACATCTTGTTATCAAGTTGTAGATTTTTACGTGTGTATGATTACACCCGTTTTCAAAATTACGCGACCAAGGACGAAAATGATATAGAGTTGACATGTCAGTTTTATGTCATTCGGTCACGAAGTTTAAACGTTGAGTTTTGCGGTTCCTTGTCGATGTATATGCTTTGTATGCTTTATATAAACAGGCTTACAATGATTTTCAAGATATTTTAGTGAGAATTATTGCAAAATTTAAGCACAAACAAAATCATAACATCACCGTTATAGTCTAGCGCGCGTGTTTTACACTGACAGCTAAATTCCCGATAAATTGTTATTTTTCAAACTTTAAAAGTTATTCACGACACATATTTCTGTAGTGATGGTTTGTATTGTGCTTTAGTTTGTATATCTAAGTTATCTAACTCATTTTTGTTCAGTTTTGGTATTAAATACGGTTTAAAATGTCTTTTGACAGTTTGTATACGTTTGCTATTTTTAGCAGTTTTTGTGACATAAAACTGACATTTGAAGTAAGAGTATTTTTCAGGGAGGTCGCGTAATTTTGAAAATGGGTGTAAAAGTTTGATATTTCATGTGATATTATTTCCTGCAGGAAAATGACCAGCAAGGATCTGCAGACTCAAGCTCAATGTCACGTGATCAGTTCACCATTCAGTGTCACAGGTTCAACTCAGATGTTCATGACACCAAAACGACCAATACCTCGCACCAGACCTCTGTCGGAATGTGGTAAGTAGAATGTGGACACAAGATAATCCCTGCATAGGATAGTAATAGAATGGTTTGGTAATAGGATGGCACAATAATAGGATGACACAGGTAATAGGATGGTTTAGAGTGCAATTTGGATAAAACATGCACGAGTGAGTTTTTCAAAGAGCGTCAAAATAGCACCAAATTTCACGAGAAACCATCCTATTACGTAATATATGAACAACGAGAGCGAGTGTTTCACCGGGATATCCAAACACGAGAAAACAATGTATCATACATTGTTTTCGAGTGTTTGGATATCCTGGTGAGACACGAGCTCGAGTTGTTTATATGGCTTCTCAAATGAATCGAGACGTAACAGAATGTTTTCGTAATAGAGAGGTGGTCATATCAGAGTGGTGTCGGTCTTAGCACATCATATCAATACAACTCTACATTTGTATTACGATTCACGTGTAAATTTAACAATCTCGTTTACTCTTATTAATTACTGTTTTTGCGTACAGTTTATTGCCTTCAAATATTAAAATATATACTTTCAATATTGTAGCGTCGAACGCGAAACAAGACCTCTCTCATGAAACCCAACATGTCAAGGTTGTAGACGCTCGGAACTACGAGTCCCCGGAAGGTTTACGTCCCGGCGAAATTACCCTGGAATTCACGAAACTCATGGGCCAAACTCCGGTCGGAGATAAGTACGTGTTTGATTCCCCACACAGCGCTACTTTATCATGTGATATGAAAGCCAAGAGAGCTAAGAGACAAGGACGGAATAGAGCTAATAGAAGGTTGAGTGTTCGTCTGTTTGTCAAATAAAAAATATCGAGTATTTTTTGTATTTTCTAAATGAAACTTTCAAAACACCTAGGCCTTTACGTCCAACTGAAAGATTTTATGTCCTCTTTTCAATGTGTCGATAATTTAATAATAATTTTATTTACATTTAAAGATAATTGTAATATTTTTCTCACGGCGGGTTTTAAGTTAAATCTCATGATCTAACATCAAAGAATGTATAAGTTATGTTATCAAAGAAACTGTCTCTTAAATTCATTCCAGCCAACGCTGTAACATGTGTGTTCAAGTCGTTGCGAAACATATTAAAATGTTTATTTATGTAAGGGGTTCATTCATAATATTTGTGTGCAGTGGCGGACACTGGAGGGGGTGGGGTGAAGTAAACTTTTGATCGATAGCTGAGTAACAAAACTGTAAACTACTTTTCGACATTGAGTGCATGGTAGGCTATTTATTTAATTGTCTTTTTTTGTTAGGAATTCGTCCGGAGCTACAAGATGTTTCTCTTCGTCGCCGCGATCAAGGAACAAGGTATGTATGGGGCAGCTGTCAAAATGTTCCTATTTTTGCATGGGAATTTTACTCAAACGCAGCGCAACCAGGGGGGAGGGTACACCTTTTCAAAAGTGGGAAAAAGAGGGGGCTAAGCCGGTAAATTTTTTTGAAAATTTAGAGAGAAAATTACGAAAGTGTTAAAAAGAAGCGGTAATTAGGTTTATTAAAAATATGAAGAGGTTATTATATTAGGTCCAAAAAAAGTTTTAACCAAACTGGTTAATAAACTAACAGACTATCAAACTCACGCACCGAATATAAAGCGGATGCCAAAACTTCGTTTGGGCACCCCAATTTCGAATGTAACTTACTTTACAATGAGCTCGCGAGCGTCAACTCGGGCTACTGGACTCAGGTCAAGAGCTTGGTGGTCAGAGAGCTGCATCGCAATCGCAGGACCGCAGATTCGATGCTTGCCGGAGGGCCAGTGGTTGCAGCTTCTCCGGGTCAGGTCTATAATGTATAATTTTGAAAACCCTGGTGCTAGTGAGCTTTGCTGTTTTTAGTTTCGGATCAATCGAGTTCCCTAGACGAATACCACCTGAATGAAATGTTCTCAATCCTAAATTTTGTTTACATTTTGGAGTAACCTGCAGGCCTAAATAATTATTTTGCTTGGAAGACAAATGTCCTACCGAGACAAAAATTTGCCGGACATTTGTATCGGTTTTTGGCGGACAATGGACAAAGTAATATTTTTTCTTAAAATAGCACGATGTATTTCGGCTGATCATGTCAGTCAGGCTAGGAGAAGCAGGAAATAATTTTTAGTTCTCGTCCAATTTTCGTTGAAATTCAACCACTACTTGATCGATTTGTCCTTGGCTGGTCCATTTAAACTGTTCGATACCATTCGAGTGAAACATAACCTAGTAGCAGGTAATAAACTTAGTGTGACTTTAAAGTCTTTCTTCCCTTTTTAGCCACTGAAGAAAAACACACCCAAGGAAACGCCCTTGGCACACGGAGGCAGACATGGATCAAGTGGGTCAACGATGGACGAGAATTGTAACTTGATCAATGGAGGGAGTTCGTGGTTGAAAAACCCAGAGAAAAGTACTCCCCGCAGAAACACCCCACCCTTGCCGCATCTAAAAAAGAAACCAGAATTTCGAACAATTTTTACGGAAAATGTTTTCTAATATTTTACATTGTTGCAAAATGGCACAGTCATCTAATTAATTATTAAACAGACGATAGACCTTTTAGAAAAGGAACACTGGTTTGAAATCTAGACTGGATAAATGAAGCCAATTAGGGACGGGCTATTAAATTTTTGAGGGGGAGGGGAGTTTGGGCAATTTTTTGCGAGTCTATATTTTTAATCCTTGACACATACAGGTGTTAGAAATACTAGAAAAGATGCAGGCAAGTTCAATTACGTTCCCATATATATTAAAAAGCATTTGATCTTGGCTGTTAGACCAATTAGATGAATTACATCCTGTAATCATGCTATCATGAACGTTGAAATAATATTTGCAATCCGCACTCAATACTTGAAAACCTTGGGGGGGGGGGGTCCGGTGGAAAATTTTGAAATCTAGGGTCTCGGGAATTTTAATGCAAAATTCCTGCATTCTGGGAGACTACTTGGTAGTGATGTCTATGTTTATTTAACTCGAAAGATGTTTAAAAAAAAACTTGAAGATCTACACGAAATGTTTTTTTTTTTGGGTTTTGTTGTACACGTTATTTTCAATCGGGTTAAGGCTATGCTCGAATTGTTTCCCCCCCCCCTTTCAAAAATCTAATGGTCCGTTCTTTAAATATTATTTGACAGTAAACCAATTGATATTGTCGACTGTATACAGCTATTTCAACTAAGGCTGTCCCCGAGCAAAGCGAAAGAGTCCAATACATGCGCGAAAGGCTTGGTGGGAATCGCTAAAAATTCAATTAAGGTTGTCCCCGAGCATAACGGAAAAGTTGAATACGAGCGCGAAAGCACTTTGTACTAACGTATCCCATTCTGGAAGGCAAAATAAAGAGGCTCGTTGTTCTTGGAGCAACTTTCTGGTGATTGACAGTACAATACTAGGCATATTCATAATCTTCCTTTCTTTGCTTTATGGAACGTGTCATTTATTTCCTTTGGATGCAAAGCCGACACTATGATTTGGCTTATAGAAATGCACCATTACCAAAATAAACTGAGCAATTTCTAATTCTATAGACCATCTGAAGATATACAGTCTACCATCATAGTAGGTTATCAGTCGGTTTAAATCCAGTGTTGTTAAAAGATCAGTAAATAAAACTGGGAGGCGAAGCGTAATTTAAAAATTGCAATTTTGTAGAAATTTATAAATAATTGCTACGGTATATAGTAGATGTATTTTTATAGTAGTAGTTCCTATATAGTAATTCCTGTTGTCTATGTTTATGAAAAATTTGGATTAAATATTTCTGTTGAAATGAATGTCCCATTTTTTTCATGTGTAGATATCTCATATTGGGACTTCAGCTCATATATCTGAGACTATATATATAGAGCTCGTGCTATAATTGTCGGCTAATCTAAATATGGTGTTGACAAGTTAAATTGCACGAGGCGTACCTGATATGAACAGGTTTTTTGATTTTCTGAAACAAAATTGAACAGTGTTTCCAGCTCGTCAGTTCTTTAGAAAGATGAGTTATAAAGTTTTGTCTTTTATTGTCATAATCTGAAGTGCAACATAAAAAAGACATCGAATCGAAAAGGTTTTACTTTCTGTCTAGCCTTAATTAAAACAAGCAATGATTTAGTTAAAACTCTATACCACACGTATTTGTTCAGTTTTATTATATGCCTGCAAGGTCTCCCATTTCAGTCTACCAGAATTTTTAATTACAATGTAGCTTTGGAACGAATTCATAAACGAGCAATGGGGATAATCTACGACTACGTTACCGTATAAAGTCGCTCTGGAATTGTAGACTGGTTGCGCAGAAACAAATTGGTTATTAATAATGGCCTCTCTTCCTTTTGAAATTTGGCAGGGAAAAATGAATGAGGTCACACCATTGAACTGAATAGAACTGCAACGCTAACTCCAACCGCAAATTTGAAGCCAAACTTGAAGGCCAGTCCCAGTCTTTTCACGCATGCGAAAAGCGCTCAATAAGTCAATCATGACATAAATACGCGCTAATGAAATGTATATAAATTTCCACTCGAAAATTTCCATCAACACCCTTCAACTATAGAATCGAGGGAGATGCACTCGATATTTACCCATAATCTAAAAAAAACTGGCAGTACCCTATATAATAATAATAACACTTTATTTATTGAAGATAAACAGATAAAGTTACAACTTTTTTCCAATCTGGTCCTCCTAAACTCTATAGACACAACAACAACACCAAACATGAGTCATGACTATTTTCAGTACTTCCTAGGAGTATGAACAAATGAAATCAATGGGTATTAATGTAAAGTATTAACCAGTACTACAATTCAGTTGTTCATACCTCGAGAAAGCCCCAATTTTCTAATTAGGCAATTTTCTATAACTATGTTTAAAGTACTATTTACAACATGAGCGGCCGTGTTGTATCGGATATACAAACTCGAGCCGAAGGCGAGAGTTTGTATATCCGATACAACACGGACGCGAATGTTGTAAATGACTTAAAAAACGACTCATCTTATGAGTTCATTGCCGAAGTAATTTTAAAAATAAACGTTGTCTAAGCCGAGAAAATCAAAGTTAAAGTTTATGTAAATCAGCATGAATCTGTATCACGCTTAGGATTTTTCTTTGTGTTTTCTTCATGAATTATTAATGAGTTTTTTAATTATATTTACATAATAGTATGTCGAAATACGTTGACACACAACTCACAAGTGTCTAAAGTGACATTATAAACATGACAATATTTGGCACTTTCTCCATGTACAAACAGATGTGCACCCGTACGTTCCGCACGTTGTAACCAATAATACAGGTTAGAGGTTAGGGTTGGGATTAGGATTGGGGTTATGGTTAGG